CAAACAGCAATACATATGTTAACTCAGTTGTACCCAAAGAGTGGTGTATTATTTTTAAAAAATCTTTTGTGAATGAGGAAAATTAAGATATTTCTTTTTCTGTCATTCAGGTGTAACATGATAAATTTATTCAGTAGTTTTGAAGATGGAACATGTATATACACACATAGGTGTAACACAAACAGTGTATAATAATATTGTCTTTGAAGTTTTCACAGTTGTGAAGAAGTTGATGACTAGCAGACAGGTTTCCTTGCACCATATGAAACCCAGCTATCACATTAATTTCAAATGAACATGCATTAGATTGAGAGAGCCTGGACTTTTGTGGGTTGCAGAAACCTGCAAGAACTGTTATAATTTAAGACAGTTTAATCCATTTTTTATTATATAAATTTACTAAATGTAATTAATATCTAATATATTAATAGCAGCACAGTTATTGTACATTGTGATTAAGGGAAACAATTTATGTTTCAAATATAATGAAGTCCCTGCAGACAACATTAGCAGCTGATGCGCATCTAGCAGAAGGACTGTTTTTAATTGAAGGGCTGAAACTAAACATAGAAAAATCTCTCGGATTCCGAGCAGGGATGTGGAGACCGACAGCTTCCAGAAGGGAAGTACAGGACACTACTTAAAACCATGGTAAACTTTCATAAGGAAAGTGCATCAATGCAGTACCTCCTCTTATGTAAGGTTTTGAGTTTTAAATACTGTAAAGAGTTAGCATAGCTGTAATGCACACAGGAGAGGAAATGATCATAGCATAGGGCTGCAAACTTCTGCTGGATACGTTCCAGTTTGTTGGCATTACTAGTTGTAATAGAATTCCAAATGACCAAGATGTACTCGAGCTGTGATCTGACTAAGGTAAAATATAACATATACAGGCAGTGAAGAGAATGGAAAAGTCAAAGTGCAAACAAGACCCAACAACTTAATACACTGTCAAAATATATAGTGAACATGGTTGTGGAATTGGAGTTTAGAGTCAATAATTATTCCTAGGTCAGTACATGTTACAGAGGAGTGACAAAGTTTATAGTCTTAGATCAATGTAGAGGTATTTCTATACGGTTAGAAAATGCATCAACATTATAGGGTTCTGCTGAACGAGTACCATCAACCTCAAGCTGGATAGAAGTGGAATTTTCCCTCTGAGACGCCTTGTATTTCCAGATTTGCTTGGGTTGCGAATTTAAATTGTCATCAATAGACTTTCAACCATCGGACATGATAGTAGCTTTCGCTAGCTTACGATAGAAGGAAAATTTACTGTAAAAACAATCAGAGTTATTCCTTTTAAAATGTCTGTAAAGTAATCTTTTTTCCAAATGTAATATCACAAAGCACTCGAAAACCAGTGAGCGAATTTTTACTACAATACCAGAGTCAATATAATTAATACCTAACTCATGGAAGTTCATAAATACTAAGTCTAGGAGACCACTGCTGCCAACAGTATCTATATGTTTGTGGTCGAGCAGACACGTGGAGGTGTAGATGGCATCTACCTTGGGTTCGGAATAATAAAGGCAGTTAGCCTGAGAGAGACAGTGCTTCCAGTCAAAATGAGGATTGTTGAAATCTCCTATGAGAATAACTCAAATATTTTGTGTGTCCAGATTGTTTGCTAAAAAGTGAAAGTAATTTGTAGTAGCTTCAGGTTTAATATCAGGAGAAAGTAATGGTTGCCAGTGAGTAAATGTAGACCCTCATAAGTGGGAATTTCAACCTGTACACATTCATTGAAATATTCTAAATCACGCCATGTTTACAGGAAAATACTCTGAGGAATAAAGCCACCAACTCTTCGCCTCCACGCGTCTTATTAGTACGCAATTTGTCAGAACGGAAAACTGAGTTACCGTCTAGAAATAAATTGTGATTGGAACACAAGTTGTTAAACTATGTCTCAGTTAAGCACATTATATTTTGGTCCCTGGGACCAGATGTTATCATATAGTTCAAGTTGCTTGGTCCCGAGACCTGACGTTTTCATAATAAATGTCTAAAAATGTAAAGAATTTACTGGCTTTGTGTTAGACATGGAGATACCACTTGTGCTTACATCACAGATATGAGCCACTAACAAAGTGCAGCATCTCTCCTCTTGCTAGCAACAGTGACAAAGCCATCAGCAGACTCAGATAGCATATAATGACATGTTATGTAAATACTGAGATGTTTTGAGTCAAGATGGAGTCTGGGCACTGGTAGCTGCTGCCCAGATACTTGATCAGCGTAAGGGTGTCCCTGACCCCACCCCTTCATGAAAGCTTACATGCTGTATAGTTGGAAATACATTTTACCATGTACTGTATCAAAAAAGTGTTTCAAATAAAAATTGTAGACCAAAATTAAATGTGTTACATATCATGTGCTATCCTCAAATGTGTTATCAACACTTTTACATTTCTCTTGTGCTAAAGATAAAAACTGCAGTCTTCAAAGTCAAGGTGTCTTGTAGTTTTCATATGTTACTGCCCATCCTGTATCCTTTACTCTACTGTTTCTTATGACCACAGATTCCATGGGGAATATTTGTAAATTCCACATGCCTGCTAGAGTTCAACCCAAGACACTAGCCATTTGCTGCTGAACAGATGCATTCCACAGTGACATCTGTCCACCACATTATACCAGTAGCCAACCAGATGCATTATGATTGGTTGAAATGAGTAATGGTTTTGGCAACTACTAGTGACATCTTCCATAGTTTGTATCTGCCTATCCCAGTTACAACCTTATGCATAGATTTGTAATATAGTGCTATACGTTGGCAACATAGGCAGCATATATCACACATATTGTGCTGTCATGTATGTACAATGATAGTGAAACTACTACAGAATAAACTGGTGGCAGCTGTTGGTATTACAGCCCCATGCGCACGCGTGCGCACAGCCGTCATGACAGAGTTCACATACCTTCATTTTTAAAAGCAGGGGAAGTTCATCTGCAGTACCAGCTACCAAGTTTATCCAGTTCTCGTGGCAGTGAGTATGAAAGCAATTGTATTCTGCAGGATAATTACACCATGCAGTCTGGTATAAACTGATTTATGTTTGACGGTGATGCCCTGATAATGATGGTAGTAAGCACCCCTGAAACATTGGCTACTTTCTACCAGACTACATAGTGCAAATCCTGGAAGACAGCCATTTTTATACTTGCCACTGGGAGGACCTTAAATATCAACCTTTACAAATCTGGTGCCTGGTACTGCAGAGGAAATTCCTCCACTTTTAAAAATTTATGTTTCTGAACTTGAGAATGTTTGTTTGCAGTTCATTTAAAAAGTACAAATTTTTCACCTAAATCAATCAATACAAAAGTCCCTTATTGAAATGTACTGGACCATTTTTTGAGTAAACTATACCACAGGTTGAAAATCTTGTTATTTATAAGCATTTTTGACAACTCCGGTTCAGTACACAGTATTAAAAATAACTCTGAGCATGATCTACATCACAATAAAAGTAGAAGGGTAGATTAAAAGGGCAACATGTATAATATAAGTGAATAAATGTTTTCCACTCAATTTCAACACAGTGGCATATTCAAATACCGACTCTTACACTACACTATATTTTGTGAATCAAAGGAACTATAAAACATGAACACTGCACATGCCGCTTCTACAGCCTAAATATAAAAACATATCCAACAGCACAAGGAATTACAGAACTCTCACTTTCTATGTGCATTCACTTAGTTGTCTTCCTCCCATATGAGTGTATCTAACAGTCAATGAAGGTCAGAGTTATCTGGAGTCAACTGTGGACTTATGAAAAATGTTTTTTATTACAGATATTATGTTCAAGAAATTTAACATGGACAAAGCTAAATTTCATTACATTTTCGGATTATAGATTTTCAATATATAAATATGATAGCAAAACCAAAATATGTGTAGGACCTGCAGTCTAAAAAAGGTAAGCTGGATTTATATGTTGTACACAATATTTCATTAGTGCTCTCTTGTTTTGGCTGATTAATGTTGGGAAACTGGGACTAAATTACTACAATCATCACAGGAATTGAATTTCATACATAATTATTATGCAACATTACTTTCGTTGTGAATAACAGAAAAAACAATACGCATGCTGCACCAGATTCCTGGGAAAACTGAAGAATGAAAGTTCTGTTTTCCTGTGGCTTGATATGGGCCTACAAGCAAAGCATTTCTGAAACTGTGCCGGGTACTTATAAGCAATCCACGAATCAGAAAACATTTTATTCCTTACAGTAGACTAGAAACTCACGATATAAAATTAACCTGAATTATCAGCTTATAACATGTTTCCACCTGTTGTACGTAACTACATTATGTTTGCTACACGATTGTACTTCGTTCAAATAACTACACTTTCATGTACAAGGGTATGGTGAATGCATGTTCTCCCTCCCGATACATCATTTACAGTTTTCTGATGTAAGTATTTATTGTGCTGTGTATTCTTGTAGACGTTTCTATCTCCCACTCAATCTCCAAACGGGATTTTAAAATAACATTGGCTTGAACCCATGTATACATATTAATGGCACCGAGGCGGTAGATGGCGCTGCCAGAGATGCCACAATTCGGGGTAGTTTATAGTGTCGGCGTCAGCTAGGACTTTAACACTGCACTCTATTAGCGCATCCTAGCAAAATGGAAGCAGGACTGGGACTACACAAGGGAACAAATTACGAGAAAAACCAGTGACACTCCCGTGGAGGTATTCTAGTTGCCTCAATCGCTGTGATGAGGTTATGGTAACCCATCTCGAAGATTGCTCTCTTGGATGCCCTGCTGTCATCGCCCGTAACATAGCATTTCTTATGATTGATGTACTGAGTTTTTTGTGTCTAGCATATATTTAAACTATCCCTGTTTTCCTCCAATGAGGAAGACAAAAGCATTAAAATGTTGTCTATGGCACTGTCTAACGTCCATGAATCTTGTAGGTTTTATACTCTGTGACTTTGTACGATTGATTTTTTTTATCTGTGAAAATCCTCCGGTATTTTTATGAATCTGTAGTCGCTGTGGGTGGTGTGAAGTGTAGTACTTTTTAATTGCAATGGAAGTAAACGTGATTGATGGTATCAAGGAAATCAACTTAAGTAACGAAAAGGCATGGAAGTTCTTCATGTAATTTGTAATTCATCGCAGTATGTTTGAAGTTTCTGTGATTAAGTATTCCAGAATACTGGGGTCCGGTCTATACAGGACCTATGCCTCGGTTGGTAGGCCAGATCCTGGTTCTCGACACGTTGCATGCAATGAGTTAATAGTAAACACATGGTTGTCCTGAATAAGTATTATTTTAAGTGTTTTGTACGCTTCTTTCTTTTTACAACAAGCAGTTGTGCTTTTTAGATCGACGGACGTTTAAATTAAATTTGAACTTCTGTGTAATGCAGCAGAAATTAGCATGTTTGTGTATATTGCGTCATACACTTTGGCTCAGAGAAACATTTTTGATCATTTTTATTCGAGTTCAATTTATTTACATTTCTTAGATCTTCCACCAACACTGTCAGTTCAAAAATGAATATATAATTGTTACAGCAGTTTACACAAATGCAGGATATAAGTTTTTTCTATTGAAGTAAATTATTCTGCATTTTATTTTATAATTTTAAGTTTTAGCCTTATATGGAAGAGTATTGAATAATTTGATTCTTGTATAGTGAACAAATTTCTGACAGCTGCTAAGGTTAGCATTCAACATATGGAGGTCAAGTTTATGCCTTGTGTTACATACTGTGTATGTTAGAATTTGAAAGTCCTTGCTGTCTATACTGAATGACAGTAATGAAAGTAAGATTTCACTCTTTTGCTGTCTGTTGAATTTTCCGTATGACACAATGTGATGAAATCAAAATAAGAGGTATAATTTTGTCATAAGTTTGTTTTGTCAAAATTTAGTGTATGTCGATGCCTTTAAATCATTTGTTCAGACTAGTAAAGACATCTTTAATGGAATTTTGAAAGTTGTCACTTTCAGCTTGATAAACAATAGTACTGGTATCATCATTGAATTGTTCAGGCTTGGATTGAGAATTAATGATTCAGGGTAGACCATTTATGTATAAGAGGAGAAGCAGAGGACAGTATTGAACCATGAGGATTGCCATGTTTTACAGTGCTCCAATTTGAATTGGAAATTTAATTTCTATTCTTTTTTCTGACATTAAGGTATGATTTCAACCGTTGTTCAGCTTTACCTTGAATTCCTTAAAAAAAATAGTTTTGATGGTAATGTGACATGAGTCACAATCAAATTCTGTAGAGCAAGGCCACAAAATGTTCCACTGATGTGGATTTTATTATTAAGGGCACATAAGATTTCGTTTTGAAATTGTACAGGACTTTATCTTTTCAGAGACTTTTTCTAGATTCAGGCTGTTAGAGTTTAAGAAATTAGTTACTGTCTTGTATAAAACTCTCAAAAATTATTTAGAATGATATCAATGATGACAATGGCTTGTAGTTGGAGATTCAACGTTTTTACCCCTTTTTAACTTGAATATTGAGATCATTTTGGACAAGCTCCATTGATAAGTGATTGATCAGAGAGGTAACTTTGAGGATCACACATAAGAGAATAAATTATATTTGTTTAATTTGCTGTTGTAGGAATATATGTTTGGGAAGGTTGTAGGGATTGCTTCTGTCACATCCTCTATTTCCTTTTTCTTTGTTGGGCATCTAGGACTGTCATTCATTGTTTCTGAATCATGAAGAAATAAGTACTGAGTAAGTTTAGGAGTTTTATATTATTGTTTATCTTTATTGATGGGTTTTCTTCTACTGTGGAATGTTTACCGGTTGTGCCTTCTACAATTTTCCAGTGAATATTATCAGACTTTAATCTCTGTTCATTATAATGCATACATTTGACCTCTTTAATGACATGAGTGAAATCTTTCAGTATTTTGTGTGATAAATCTTCATTATATTGTAAAAGAAATATCCTACATCTTATTACATTTTTTAATCATTACTTTGTTTTAACTATATTCTTTTTCAATTCTCTGACTGTGTAAGATTTGAAACTTTTATGGTGACTGAATGCAGTGAAGTGTTCTTGGGCAATGAGGCATGTGGTGATGAAGGTAGGAACAGTCTCCAAAATATCAAATTACAGCTCCATTCTCACACAGCTGAATGCCCAAAGAGACTTCATTGTAACAGTGTATTATAAAAATAGATGGAATATGCTAGGATTAAGCTTATATGTGGTATAATTATAACTGTACATATCATTCAGTTTTGATATTTTAAATGGTCTGAGTAGCTTTGATTTTAATGTACCAATTCTTCCTCTTAGAAACTTACTATTTTCTTAAATTAGCAGAGTTTAGGATTGCTAACAAGTTAATATGGGTTGTGTGTTAATACTGGTTTAGATTTTAAGCTCTCATGGTATCAAATCTGAAGAAGACTTTCATCTTGGTACTGGTGTTTCATTGCATAATTTGACAAATTAAAGTGCACAGGTTTATTTAGACAACTGAAACACTGGTATATCAGTTTTAATGTGATATGTTCTATATTGTTGATCATGGATGTAAAAGGAAACGTAGATAACAAGCAAGCACAGATAATCCAAAATTATTACCATTAACTTACATGTAGCTGCCATGCTTGCGTAAACAAAATGGTAGTGGGCTGGTTTTAGCAAGCCCACTGGTGGCTTCTTTTGTATGGGGCTGTATAAGCTGTATAATTTCCATCCTGTTGGCTCTGTCCCAGCCCCTGCTTTACATAGTCTGCGAGACTTACGTGATTAATGTTTTTGTAGCTATTTTAAATGGTTTTAGGGTTTTAGTGGTTTTAATTGGTTTGTGGTCTTTTGGAATAATGCAGTTAACACCAAACATGAATTTGTGATATCCCTGAACTAAAGTATTTGCACAAATATTAAATGTTTAAGTTGATTCTCTTATCAGTTACTCTCCAAAATATTGGTCTTTTTTCAGAAATACCTGATCTTGACAAGCATCTTCTGCATTTTATGTGCAGAATAAAGGGTGGCATGTGCACTTGTAGAATATGTCCTATTTCTAATTAACTTGCTACTTGAGCAGTTGACACCAATAAATCTAGCAATGGACAATTTGAGTTTGCAATGTGATTGTGCTACATACATAGTATGTTGTTTCATACGTCTTTATTGTTATCTGACAAAGTTTTTTTATTACCATATTCCTGGCCAGAACCTTCCACCCAGTCACTAATTTTAGTCCTTGGGTCATTATTGGCGCAAATTTACCTATGCTGTTGTTTAAAGAACATCACCATAAACCATTGTTTGTAATTATCAGCCAGTTATATGTCTCAGTTTTTTTCTGCTATTGATTCTTTATCCAGAAATTTGAAAAAAAAGTTCTTTCTCTATTTTAGATTGATTTGAGATGTACTTAAACTCTGTTGGCCCGCTGGTTGATGGTCTGCTTAAAATTAAAAATTAAACTGTACTATTTATTTGACTGTTCACAAATATGCCATATTTGGCGGGTCCCCTGTCACCACGGCATGGCACATCCTTAGGTTGTGGATTGAGGAATAGCCTCCATTTATGAGGTTAGTTGTGAATATATTGAATAAGCAGTCACAGACAGCCAAAGGCAATTGGATTAGTTAGTTAGTTCACAAACATGAGCTGTAGGCACTGTGCAGCTAGTGATAGATACTGCAAGACTAGAAGCAGGCAATGGAAGATGTATAGGAGGTACAAATGGATTTGAGGTTTTCACAGTTGTGAGTCTGAAGATGGCTGTCTTCTGGGTTGTTGCGCCATGTAGTCTGGTAGATGTCTATCGACATTTCAGAAACCCTTGCTGCCCTGATGATGGAGGCAGCAAGGACCTCTGAAACGTTGGTAAACGTCTACCAGACTACATGGCTCAATAACCCAGAATACAGCCATTTTCAGGTACAAATGGCAGTGATAAAATTTGCAAGAGTGGGAGTCAATTTCAGCATTACACTCAAAGTGAATTTAACGCCCTGCTGTTAAGCAGTGGCATGTTCACATTCAGCTCTCAACAGTTTTCTTGTTTTATTTTCTTGCTTCAAAAAGTGGGCCACATCTGGTGCACTTTGAAATATAATTTAAGTATTATATTTTAGGGGAATGCATTACACAGTACCAAATTTAGTGGATGGTTTTATAAAATTCTTAAAGTATTTCAATGCAGAGGGTGATATTGTACTTTTCTCAGCTAGTTTGCATTGTCTTTCCTGTGCCTTTAGCTTCTTCTGTCTTGGAGTGACTTTCTTAGTGAAGCGCCTTTCTGTTGGGTATGGAGGCTATATTGTTGACCTGATTGTTGTGCTTTATAACACTGATACCTACTGGAATGACTTTGTGCTTAGGTGGAGGTTTGACTTTACATACTGTAGTTACCATAGTTTAGTTTTGTTCTCTCAGTTGTAAGCTAGTTCATTTTCGGTATTATATGCTGCAGTTTTAAACTCCACTTCTTGGAACACATCTTCATCAGACAGTAATGTAGATCGTTATGTGATTATTAGAAAGTTACTAGATGGGTTTTAAGAAAACTTTTGAATTTTATACAGTAGCATGGAATTCAAACTTAATGAGCTGATAGTTCTCTTATCATGTATTAGATTAAATATTTGGATGGTAAGGGTGTTAAAAAATGTACTGTTCTTCACTATAACATCTGAAAAAATAAAATATGTGTATATGTATGTGAAAGCCGAGCTAACTCAGTATAATTACTGACTACAGACTGGACATCAATCAGTGTTTGAATAGTTTGTCTATAGATCACCAATCTCCAAATTACATATCAGAGCTGTGCCAAAGTGGCATGTGTGTGTGTAAAAATACTTTTAAATTGGGCAAATCAAAGGAAGTCTCTCATGAAACAGAGGTGAGCAGAATTTGTGCTGTTCAAAAGTTAGGAAATGGTAAATATTGGAATAATGTATGTTGAGGAAACTGTACTGTAATTGCATTCTTGTTCCAGATTGAACTTTTAGTCAAAATGCATTCAAGTGAATATTATTAATGTTATTGTTTCTACATCTGAGAATCACTGTAAAATGTTCAGTGGTAATCTTCAGACACCAGAAGGCCTTGAAGACCTCAACAATTTCTTGTCAGATCAAAGCTATGTGAACGGGTTTAGACCAAGCCAGACTGATACATATTTATTTGAAACACTTGACAGTTGCCCATCAAACATCTTTCCTCATGTGTGTCGTTGGTATCGACATATAGCAAGTTTTGGAATGGAGCGGAAGAATTTTCCTTTACAAATTAATACCATACAGGATATAAATAGAAATATCAAAGAAAGTTTGGTGCCCCTGATGGCGAATAACAGAATTGTTCCATCAAAGGTGAGAATTTAACCAGATGACAGTTATATTCAGGTCAGAACACAGTAATGAATCATGGGTTCCATAAAGACAGCCTCTCAGAAAAGGTCCTGCCTGCATGGAGTTTGTTAATATAAAAGAAACTCTGCTAAACCATTTAGAGCCTATAAGAATGTACAAAGACTTGTACATTCTCACTGTTGGCAGTGTGCTTTATCATCATTGCATCATCCTTTCACCTTGTCATTTCTAGCTTAGTGTATTGGATTTTATCATTGCTTCATCTGCTCATTTATGGCTGGTTGTAGCAGATTTAATAATTTCTTTGTTTGCTCATAACTCTGTAGCTGCAGTGGAATCTATGACAGTGCATGATTATTTTATCTGTAAAGCTGCCCGCTTGTTCTCTTCTAATGCTGAGATTAATAATGCATGGCCATGACTTGAAGCTTTTGAATAAAGCTAGCTTTGTTTTGCTGTAGAGGAATACATTGTGTCAGCCTGTACACTTAAATGTAGCTTGTAGTTATGGTTTGTTTTTCAAGTTCTCTGGTGATGTTGGCACAGTAAGAGAGTATGATTTGAGGTTTTCATGGCAGTGAGTCAGAAGATGGCTGTCTTCTTGGTTGTTATGCATTGAAGTCTGGAGGTCCTTGCTGCCTCCATTATCAGGGCGATAAGTAGGAGACTTTAGCAGTAGCAAGGGCAAGAGAGATTTTCCCTTACATTTTAGGAATATGTGATGAAAGAATTACATGTAAGATTTGAGGTTCTCACAGCGGTGAGTATGAAGATTTCCGTCTTCTGGGTTGTTGCGCTGTGTAGTCGGGTCGATGTTAACCAACGTTTTCTTGTAGTATTCATCGCCCTGATGACGGAGGCAGTATGACCTCTGAAACGTTGGTTAACATCGACCAGACTACACAGCGCAACAACCCAGAAGACGGAAATCTTCAAAGAATTACATATTTGTTTGCGGGTGTATCAACATTCATAGTGTCTTGCAGCCATGCTGTAAATTTTAGTCATTGGCAGTAGTTAACAAAACAACTAATTAATTAACACTATGTATATACATGTATTTATTATTTTTATTTTTGTTGTTTTGACAGCACTGTCAGTACCTCAGATTACGTAGTATAGCAAATGATGGGATAATTAGTGAACAATTAATTTTGAATGATGCTAAAGGAAGTGACCATTACCTTACTTAAGGTGCTGTCTTGGAATTGCCTGGAGGGACTGCAGAAAACCATGAAAATCTTTGGGCTGAGATTTGAACCTGGAACTTCCTGAATACGCAGCAGGAAGGCTAGCCACTTGGCTTTGTTGTTCAATCTGTGTGTGTGTGCGCATGCAGAACACACGCACACAAGGATCTCTAGCTTTAGAATACCTGGTAGCTGCAATTTAAATCAAGTGCCACCAAATTGTGAGGGTTGAAGCTAAGGTAGTATCTTTTGTAACTAGTCGGAAAATGAAAAAAGCAATTGCTGTCTGCATATTATTAACTTTGTGCAGCCTCGTAGAAGTTGACCAAGATTTAGAGGTCTGTTGCTGCCAAGCCTGATTCACGGTACAGTATTCCAGAAGGCTGTCATCTGTAATATGCATGGCTACAAAGACTCATTTTCTTACCATTATACCTCACAGTTCCCTTCCTTCACATGGAGTTCCTTTATGCTGGAAAGACGGAAAAGTTGTCCTGCTAGACTCATGATTTAAAGTAACCACTGCTCATATCAGGTCTGATACTACTGTGTGGGATTGTTATGAGATCAAGAATAGAGCAGTCTAAATAAATTTGTTTCTAAATTTATGAAACAAGCAAGTAATATACTTTCTCTCTTATGATTGTACAAAATGAGCCATGTTCAAAGATATCAACAACACCGATATAAGATTCATGGAAATGTTCATTCATAGATACCATGAAAGCTGATACAATATTGACTTGTGCCCAAAATGAATTAATTTAGTGGGCCACTACTGTGAAGGAAGGCAATAATTTATTAATATTGTTAAGCCATGTGAACTTTAAAAGGAGTAAATGGGTGATTGCATTGTTTTCAGGAATGTTGAGGGACAAGTTAGAATGGTGTAATGCGGTGATAAAGCATTTCCCTCTCCTGATGGAGGCATGTGTTTGTGCAGAAGTGAGATATTGCAGTAGAATATTCCAGAGATGCTGTTATATATTTCAGTACCATAGGGTATTTCACAGACTGGACATTTGTGATAGTGGTAGAAGAGGGTTTTTTTTCCCGTTAGTAACTGATGGATGGAGACAATGGCACAGTGCTGACTGGAATTTTAATTTTACTTAATTTCTCAAAAGTTCTTATGCATGATATAAAATGGGTCTGATTTAAGGTCTGTAACTTTTACAACATTGTAAGGTTTGGTATGACTTACATACCAGAAAATCTTTATTTATAGCTCTTCATAAAAAGGGAGGTCTTAAAGAACTAATCTGAACCAAATGAAATATGACTTACAACATACAGTGTAAATCCTGCATACCATACATAATTGAAATTCATTAAGTGGTTTGAGGGGTTGAATATATGGAGAGACAGTTAATAACATCCTGTTCATCATCTCAGAGCCATGCCACCCTATGGGTCCAGCGGGTTCATTGCGCCCAGGCGGCAGCATATTAGTGGCAGCAACATTAGAGTGGCGGCTACTTGCTATGGGGGAACAGAATTTTGAAGCACTGCATTTGAACAGTTAAAAATGCACAATGCCAATTTCACTTTTCTGTGTGATATCTTATCTAGAAAAGATTATGATATAAAATTAAAGTTTGCAAAAATTTGCAGGAAAAACTAACGGATAGTGCTAGAGGAGAAAGGGATATTTGTGCAGTAGATTTATTTGAGAAATTGGAATCAAAGATTTTCTGGAACCAAGAATGACCCCTTTTCAGGTTTTAGAATATATATTCACTAGAGATTTGATAGGAGTTTTTCCAAATGTTTGTATAGCTTTGCGCATTTTATTGACACTTCTGATAATGGTTGCTGCTGGAGAATGATCATTCTCGAAACCCAAATTGATAAAGAGCCATTTGCTTTCATTGATGAGCCAAGACAGGTTAAACAGTCTGGCTTTTATCAGCATAGAGAATTACATTTCTGATGAACTTGCTTTAGATATTATGAATGAGTTTTTAATTATGAAATCTCACAAAGTAAATTTATCAAATTAAAAGATTTTTTTTATTACGTCCTTTCCCTTAAAATTCCAATTATTATTATGTAACATGATTCCCAGTAGAAACTTTTTCCTTAAGTTATGAAAATTTAGATAATATATATCATATTAAAATTTTGTAAATTACAATGATAAGGATACTTTGTAAAAGATATGTGAACAATTAACTCATAATGACGATTTAAAATGTCAGCATATGGAATATTTATAATTAACTATCTGTAATATTTAGTAACAAATCTAAGTTGGTGAAGGTAGTCGCAAACTCCTGGTTTTTCAAGGCCTTCTAAAATTAATTAAACTTGGTAATCTAAAAATATAAAAATTTAGTACTTATACATAGGGGTGGCAGAATGTGCTTGCACCCGGGCGGCAGATATAATCGGCTCAGCTCTGCATCATCTTACTCATCCCATATAAAAGTGCATGTCGTATGCAAATGCGGTATGTGTAGACAGTATGTTTTTAAATGTATTCTGGTTTCTGCAGATATATATTTAAATAAATATTTGAGAACCTATAAAGTGCATTCTGTATTGTGTTGTACATATATCCCATGAATATATCCTTTAAATTGGCTAGGTGTACGTATTTTTATCAATTTCATTTATAGTCATAAGTTTAAAATTTGTGTAAGTTTTTCAGTGCCACTCTTGTTTTCTGATAATCAGAATTTATTGTACAATTTGCTGTTGTTTATTTCAGGTGGCAAAAATGAAGGATAAAAAGGGGCCGGGTGATAAAACTGGTATTTCAGAGCTCAATCCTTGGCCAACATACATTGAGGTATGCATATTAAATTATAGTGGCATGTTAACACACAGTATGATAATTATTTTTGTGCTATATTATTGGCATTACACACTTTGGTATTGGGTCAAATGGTATATATGAGCTGGTTATTAAATCTGACTCATATTTAGAAGATGCCAATTGCAATTCTCAGTCCAATTTTCCTGACTTAAAACTTTTATGATTTTCTTCAGTTTCTACAAACAAATACTAGGGCTGTGCCTTAAAAGGAACCGCACATGCTTGCTTCACATCCTTCCCCTTTTTAATTTACAGTTGATTGAATTGTTGCTCATTGCTGTGTTAACATATGAGATCTGTAGGATTTGAGTTCTTTGCAGCAGTGTGAATGTTGATGTTGGTCTTCCTTGTTGTTACACTATAGTATTTCAACATTTTGGAGGAACGTCCTGCATCTGTCAGGAGGGTAGTGAGTAATTTCATTAAAGATAGAGGCAGCAAGCACCTCTGAAATGCCAGTAAACTTTTACCAGACTGCATGGTACAACAACCCATAAGACAGTTATCTTCATACTCGCTGCTGCGAGAATCTCAAAACTCAGATGATCACTTTCCGCGTGAGACCTGAATGAAGGTATTGAGACTGAATTTATGAAAACTAATTTTATGATATTACAGGGATGGGAGATTATCCACTTCAGAGTAGGTGCTTTCAGTATGTAAAAGTGTTACGCTGTTTCTGCAAGTGCTAAAGAGATCTGTCAGGTCCACTTTTTGTAGCTTTTAATAGCTGCTCTATTGTATTATGTTAAGTTGACTGTGCATCACCTTTGAATGCATTTTAATTGAAAGGAAAGTCACAAAGGTCCATATTTGATGAGCTCAGAATGAATATTACTTGGGGAATATTGTGTTTGGGTAAAAGTTGGCTGCTTGGGTAGATACATTCTTATGGTGAGTTTTCCATTGTCCAGATTCCCACTTCTGCAGGCATTGTGACACAATGAATCATGGAAGTATATCAGTGCTTTTTTTCCCCCAAGTCTTCTTTTTAAATGTAACCATAAATGTCATATCTATTTTTCTTATGCCTTCAGGAGAGGATTAATTTATGGGATAAGTTAAAGTTGCAGTATGAAACAGAACTGGCAGCTAAAACATCAGTTCCTATAAAGATTACATTGCCAGATGGAAAAGTGACTGAAGGACAGTCATGGCGCACAACTCCTTATGAGGTTGCTAGAGGAATCAGGTATGGCAAAGATTGAATATTTTAAAATACTTTTCTGTGTGCGCTCATATATCCCGATCAAATTTTGTTCCTCTCAACACATTTACTGCCAGAATTGAAATTTACGTTTTTTTGGAGGCAGTTAAAACTGCCAGCTTTGAAGTTCCTTGACTAATAATTAATTCTTCACTATCAGGTTTAGTGTCTATTTCTGTAATTTGCATGCATCCCTCCAAGTGTTCATCAGCAATATGCTTCCTACTTTGTGATTTGTTGTTCTTAACAGTTGCTCACAGCTGTGGTTACTCTGCGAAGGACTGACACCAACAGTATGTGTTGTTTTATATCATTTAACTATTGTCATGATACAAAATGTCACATATTACAAAAAAAAATTGGGTTGCACAAGACAAATTAGGAGGCAATGGGATGAAAACCCTGTTCATGGGAGTATATCATTGTATACAGGTCAGCTCCTGCGGTGGAGAAGCTTTGATTTGCCTAGTGTTATTTTGTTATGGGACCAAATAATTCTGGAAGTGATCAGTTGTAAATACTCTTAAGCAGCGATTTAAGCTGGGCTGATCAAGTAAATTATACGGTTAAGAAAGCCTGGAAGGCACTTTATTTTACAATGCGTGTTCTCAAAAAGCGGAATAGTAGCACTAAAAGTCTAGCCTACACATCACTTGTGCGTCCGATTCTGGAATATGGGGCGGTGTGCTGGGATTCATACAGGGAGGGGCAGATAAATGCGTTAGAACGGGTGCAAAAGAAAGCATGTAAATTTGCATATCATAGGAGCGACTCAAACTGGGAAACCCTGGCACAGCGTAGAAAGATAATATGTGCTCTCTTCAAAGCGTACACGGGAGAACGGGCATGGAAGGCAAAGGCCATACTACCTGAGCAGGGTCGATCATATTCGGAAAATTAGGAGCAGAAAGCAAAGGACAGATATAGGAAAACATGTTTTAGGGACTCTCTCATGTAAACCAAGTGCTTTTAGGAAGAAGGTTAGAAAAGTGATAAATGAGGTGAAGTGAAGGGAATACATGGGTGGGTGCAGTGAAGGGGGGTAAATTGGGGTGAGGATGG